GAACGTTGTGTTCAATTTAAACTTGTTTAAATTTTTTTATCGTTTGGGCTTGTATTATATTTGCCTTCGGGTTTATATGATCCGTTCATCCTATTTTGACTCCTCAAAATGCAAGAGTCTATCCTAAATTGAGGTAAATTATATGGCCTTCCAAATACCGTTTCGATTCCTAACATCACTGAAGAGACATTAATTGTCGAAACCCGTATATGGTGTACAAAACTCTTTGCACCTTTTGTTTGCGGTATACCATCTTTGCCGCAAGTTTATTGTTTTCTGTTTGGTATTAATTTATAAATAAGATCTATTTATTACACCTGGTGATCCGTTTATTTGGCATTCACCAATGGCAGTCGGCAGGGTTTACGAACATTTGTTGTTCGACCTGTTAGTCACTTTTTGACTTTTTTGGTCTTTTGGAAAATGTTGTTTGTGCTGTATTTAGACCCCTCTAACAAGAAATTTGTTTTGCATGCACACGTATAAAAATTGCGGTTTTTATCCAACGCAATCATAGGCTTGAACATTGTTTTCAATTTAGACTTGTTATATATATATATATATATATATATATATATATATATTACATTTCTTAATTAAACCTTCCAAACATTTGTGACTATTTGTTCAAATAAAACAATATTGATTGGTTTCTGAATTTATTCAAAGTACAATAAGGATAATAAGTATGCAAATACACATACAAACCTATTGCCTAACGGAAATTAATGGAAATTAACGGAAATCAACGGAAATTAAACGTAGCGCATTATATTAATTGCTTAAGCTTGCATGATGCGGTATGAATTATATATAACAAACTAGGATAATAAAGCGAAGAATTCTATTGCGCATATGCATAAATGACCTTGTTCTCCACTCTATAACTTAAAGTAATAATACATTAGCTAGACTGCAGATGTATCTAGATACACAAGTACATGATTATTCCTTATTAGTTACCATACATAAAGGCAACAGTAGTATACTGCTGTTTGAAACTCATAAATCGATAGAGATAAAAACAATCCGGGTTACAAACTAAAACTGAGGGAAACGCATCAAATATTAGAGGAGAACAATGACACAACAAAAACACAACATTAAAATGTAACACACACAGAAACGAACTATAATATAACAATGGCCATTTTCCTGACTTGGTACAGGACATTTTAAGAAAAAAATGGTGGGTTGAACCTGGTTTTGTGGCATGCCAAACCTCCCGCTTTTACTACTATACAATCGAAAGTAGAAAGATATACTCGAATCTTGAAGTTATATTTTGTTCTGAGTAATATCTTTAAAAATTAGTCTTCTGTACTTCTGCAGTTTTTAAATGAATAAAACATTCAACAGAAACCTATTTCACATACCAAATACCACTTGTTTATCAATACACTAATTAAGTCATCAGAGTCAGAGAAATAGATGCTTATTTTAACTCAATCGCACGAATATGGATACTTCGAAACGTATACGTATCTGAATACTTCAGTTCTGCAACAACTCAATTATCATCTTCTACCTCTAGTATCAAATTAACTTAAAAGATAAATTGATTCATCTATTTTAATGATTTTTTATTTGTTAATTGGCACCGCTTAATATTGATTAAATTGTTTGTAGTATGACAACATCATGAAATAATTTATCATTATGAAAAAAAAATATGCTACTTTCAAACCGAAATATAACAACTTACAACAAAAACAAAATAAAATAAAAAAAAAGTGTGTGCAGTTTTTCTCTTTTTTAATATCATATCTGTACATTCAAATCAAATTAAAGATCATGGTTTTATTCTTATCATTTGCAAGTAGTAATTGATTTGTACTCCTACTATAATGAAGAGTCAAATTATTTGAAAAGACCATCTTTGTGTGTAAGTATTTCCTTGTATTGTTGTCCATCAGCAGATATAACTACTACATTCGAAGTCGCCTTGCCAGCTACGTATACATTGCCATCATTGTCCACAGAAATACTTCCTGGATGCCTGAGTACGCATTCATCCTTAAATGACCATTTTTCTGTACTTTGTATATCATAACATATCACAGAGTTTGATTGGTCTGATGTATGGTATATTTTGTCATCGAATTTTGCAACATAACCAATCGAATTATATTCATCTCGGACAATTTCACTTGTTGTTTTGTTGTACGGATTGATCAAATGAATTCCTCTACCCATTGCAGAACAAACAAATATGCCATAGCTCACAGCGATACCGTAATAATTGATATTAACTGGTATTTTGTTCTTGATTTTTTGTTTGTTTATGTCGATTATTGTAATGCAGCTCCTAATTGACTCTCCCGATGTTACGACCAGTGAGTTGTTTTCACTGATGTACGCTATGTCATATGGACATGATGGTATTTTCACCTAAAAGTCTTTTGTACCGTCCATGTTGAATATCTCAACATGTTTATTATAGTTATCCGTAAACACCATTTTACCATATGGTAGCATGCAACAACCCCGTGTATAATGTCCCCTATAACCCATACATGTTAAAGATTTATTCAGCTTCAGATTAATTTTTTCAACTGATTTAGATGATATGCGCGGCAACATTATTTGGGCTTGTTTGTCTTTCCTCCTTGTCAGAACAACATTGCACTGTTTCATCTCGATTTGGACCTCTCCAAAGTTCTTGATATGGTTTGTTAAATCTTGCATGGCGACATTTGTGTTGTACGACAGTTCGCAATCTTTAAAATTTTAGCTGGCAATCACCGACTGCAGAAATTCGTTTTTGATTGAAAGTTTTGTTTCTAGCTCCTTTATAGAAATAAATTTCTGAAGATCGGTTGCATGTTGTTTGATATCTTGAATATTTTTCCGGTAAACAGCTATCTAACTTTTTTTTTCTTTCAATGAATGAAGCAATTCTCTAATTAGCTTACTTTCTTTTTCTTCGGTTGCCTTTAATTTTTTGATGATATTGTCTTGAATTTTGTCTAAATAGTTGTTGATTGTAATCCTGGTAGTTTGTATTGCTTGCTCAATCTGCCTTTTCTTTTTGAATAGCCTTTTTAAGTTGTTTTCTCGACAATTTCATAAAAAGCATTTGAAAATTTAATGTTTTGAATAATGTCAGTCAACTTGCCGAAGTCTCGACATGCCAAATGATTTTCTACAACACAAATACCGCAGCAAAGACTTTCATGCTTTTTGCAATAAATATTGAACTTCTCGTTATGTTTGCCACATATTTGAGTGATTTTGACAACATCACATGGTATTGTGTGGTACTCACTTATTGGTACGGTGCAATGTTTTCGTGTTCCATTCGACAGACTGTGGTGGTCTTTGCATTCTGTAAAAAGCCCTTCTTCACATTCAAAACACCAGATTATGGATTGTTTAGTAATACTACGGAGATCACATATACTGCACACGGGTGTTGATGATGCCATGGTTAACAGTGACTGAAAACAAAACAAAATAATTATAATAATTTTTCATTATCTAACATCTGTTTTGCAGAATAAAGAGGCTCCTAAGAAATACATGTATTACATCAGGAATTAGAACAATAAATTAAAGAAGAAGAAAAAAAAACGTTGTTAACCATACATTGTCCATTTTTTTATTTTTTTAATATCAACTTATTATGGGTAAATTAACTTTTTTTAAATTGTTATCATAAGAAAAACAGACGAATTGAATTGTTTTATAAATTATTATACATCATGAGTGAATGAAACATAAATTAAAGGTTGTGAAATAATGATTGGTGGATAACAAATGTGCACACAATATCTTTTAAAACATGACCACTAAAATCTAAAGGAGCAGCATGAAATTAAGGTCTGATTTTTATCAGTCTGTAAATGATTTTGGTTCCGGTGAGTATTACTTTGAAGATGTATAGAGTTACGTGCTTTTTGGAAACAAGCATTTTACATGATCGAGTAATCTGAATATATAACTTTGTATCAGAAACGTAAAATCAACCATGCCCGGTGTTCACGAAGTCTTTTGACGATTTTGATGATGAATTAGTCTCATTACATCATAACTTTACTCAAATAATCTAATACACAAATAAAAAAAATGAACATTTCAACCAAAGTTAGGTTTCTGTCATTAAACAAACATAATATTACTTAGCATACATACGGAGTAACTACATCAAAAGAGCTAAATGGTGTAGACTTGTTCAGTGCTTCAATACGCCCAACAGAAAATTAAACAGCTGATAAATATATCAGGTGATTTGTTATCACGATTATATATATCATGTGCATACAAATATCAAATAGAAATGGCGGTATGTTGGAAAACTGATTGATCAATAAAGTAAATAAAAGAATTATAACATAAATTAATGTTAATATGGACAAGTTAAAAGCATAACAAAATCTTTTATACTCTTATTTAAATCACATTTTTTACAACATATATAAAATAAGAATACTATCGTCCTTACGTTATGGACAAGATGTTACGGAAAGAATAGGGTTATCATGGTTCTTTTTCTGGGTCCACATTTCACGATCACATACATTATATAAAAAAATAAAAACTATTTCGAAGTTTTACTCATCCCAGCGATAAATCCTAATAGCACACCGATTCTATTTTTCGCATGTGCATTTATATGTAAACACGGTTTTCGACGATCTGTTCAATACAACAGAGAGGGTTTCTCCAGTCATAGTTGTGATTTGTCAAGCATTGAATGGAGAAAATATATAAATGCTCATCGTATGGCTATTATAAATAACATTTTCAGCATGAAGCAATTCTGTTGAACTAAACAGAGAGGTTATTCTTTAAAAAAATCATTGAAATAAATTCTATATATTACAAAAAGTATTAAAATAAATAAATCACCAGTAGATCAGGTTTATATAAACATTGAAAACCTTGAAAAGTTTACCTGTCGTTCTAGCCATAGGTGTAGGATTTCCGAATCGATTGTTTTCATATCAAGCAGTATCAATACAGAACCTTTTCAAAGACAAGGAGATAACGCATTTTGCCGAGTTCTTTTATTTCACTTTCATATATATTGTTGATGTCTACATTGCATTGAGTGCTGGCATCTAATATATCCTTTGAACTTTGATTAAAGAAACTACAGTAACTAGAACGTCTTAGTTTTTCCTTTTTGATATTTTCCTTTATATTGACACAGATTGTTGACTTACAAAAACTAAAATCTATGGCAAACATGATGCTTTCAACTATTCTATTGTTAACGTCCCATCGTTCAACAGTAACAAACCCTCTTGTTCATACGGAAGAAAGACGATTAGAATCAACATTTCATAGGGTGACCGATACGATGTGTCTGTGTCTAAACTCACTAGCGAAACGTTGTAGCGCTCTTAGATCTTTCGAAAACAGAGTAGTCGTAATCTGTCATTCGACCGATCATGTCCCGTTGCTAGAAACAAAAGTGTTTAATGAAGTCTGAAATTACCAGCCACGAATATATAATTACTTAAAGAATTATTTGAACGTTTCAAACCAATGACGTTCTTCTTCAGGGTAATGTTTTGTCTTGTTTAATTACTGTTTAGGTTGTTACTATATTTAATCTCAAGGCCCCGGGTAATACCGTGACCAGCAGGACTATATTTGTATGAGTAATATGAACACGAGCAGTCAGAAGTTTTTGGTTTGATATTTATGACGTTAAAGGTTTATTCAAAATATTTCCACCAGGAATAGGACACAAATGGTAACTTTACAGACCAGAAAACTTTTTCTGTTGTCTTTAAATAATAGACAGCGAAAACTTGTCGCTAATGGGTTAAAACACATCCGAATTCGCTTTGAACCACGCTAACCAAACAATCTGGTTATAAAGGATTGGTGCTAAATATTGTACAATGATTGAATTTTTTAAACAATGGTAACTTAATTAAATAAATTGATCAATTGTAAACAACAGATATACATACAAAGATTAAGAGATGGGCAATGAAGGTTAACATTGTAAAGTATCTTAAACAAAACAAGATATTGAATGATCTATTATTGGAACTGACCTAAACACACGTTATAAGATTATGATGCAATTGATATTTGCATAAAAGATCTTGTTGTCTTCCTACGGGTTGTATATAACAAAATGCGTTTTAAATTTCGAAAGACATTTCAAAATTTATTAAAGCTGCAAGAAATCTGACTGTATGAATTTCGTGCATCGTTACTTTTACAATAACACCCATCGAAGATTATGCACGTTATCTAGGGCTACAGGTATGATTTCACCTATTACCTTAATTGAAAAAAATCTTCTCTTAGTTCAATTATAATACCCTCTAGTCTGGTCTAAGTAAAAGAACTTCTGGATAATTCAAAATTTCGACCTTTCCATGAAATAATTCTATCAAAACCTTTGAATTTGTTTTTGTTAACATAGTTGTTATTTCAACAGTGATTAAAATTATAACATAATGATGACTGCTGTCTCCAAATTTGTTTAAACATTTTTGCCTATTATTTCTGATTGTCTGTTTGTTTGGTTTCCAATTGATGTCAATAAAATGGAATTTTGTGTGACTGTCATACAAGAGGTTTAGAAAGCTGTAATATGTGTATGACTAGGTTTAACCCACACTTTTCTACTGAAGAAAATGAATGTAAAAATTCAGGAATATGACAGTAGTTTTAAATTAGTTGGATGTGATTTAGCTTTTGATTTTGCAATTTGATAAGAGACTTTACGTAGTCCGGTATTTCGATAGTTTGAATTTTATTAGTTTATAGCTACATTTGATGCACCAAAATATTCTAACAATAATCTATTTTACGGCATTCATTATTGTAATGAGTTGACATGAATATGTAATTGAAAAACATTTTCAATTTGATTAGCAACGTTAAATGTAGAAAAATGACACTGATAATGGTACTGCAAAACACTATATAAAGTTGTATCGATTTCAAGTAGATAACTTTAAGTAATGTTTTGTCGTTGATTGATATTAATATAGACAACACGTCTTCGGAGAATCTCTGTGATACTTATTCGCTTCTTCAGAGTACATTTTTATCAACCAACATCAACCGATACAAAATAAAGGATGTAATTACGTGGAGTTTGTGATTTTTTTCAATGTTCGGACTCCTTAGTTTTTTGCCATCGATACAGGTTAAAATATTTTGCCCAATAACTGTATTTTCTTTTCATATAAGACTTTCATAGCTCATAAAAATTCATTTGCCCAAATTTAAGCAGCTTCTATAGTTCTTTTCTTTTGCTTTGAGACCCAAATAATACTAATGCAAATATAAGGTAAAAGTCCGAGTCAGCTTTTTCCCACAATTTGTTTAAAATTATATATCTTGTGAAGGAGCTCCATAACCTATCAATATCTTTACATTACTTTGTTCCTTAGCTTTTTCATGTTTTTTTTTTCTGACTTATAGTATCAATTTTAAATTCTATAGTTTTTTATTTCACTTAACTACGTCCTTAAAACAACATATTGATACCTAACAATTGTAATAGTACACACAGTAAGGCCGTGTTCACATTGACCTAAACTAGGTGTTGTGTTAGTGTAATTCAGACCTAAACTAAACACAAATACGTTCCCATTTATAAAACTCAATGTTTTCATGTCGTTTAAATCATTTTTTGTCTACATGCAGTTGATAGTCAATGTAGTCCTTGTGTGGGTAAAGTGTACACAAAACTAGATATTTAGAACATGAATTTTACCATGTATATTTAAAGAAGACACGTTTTTGAATTAAATTGATATATATAACAATTATTAATAATGTTCTTTACATAATTATTTGTCTAAACTTGCTTTATTACTTTGTTAAAAAAAAAACTGTAGGTAGCTTTATTATCCCCTTATCAAGACTACAAGCATCATCATTTCCAAACACATAATTCATTTGAAAATGTCTTCCCGAATCGACTGGACGTACACAGAAATATTTGCCACTGGTCTTTTCTCAATCAACGATTCACTCATAAATGCTTTACTGAAAAGAGTATGCGGTAAATGGTATTGTTTGGCTAGTATCTCAAATCCGGAAATAAAAAAAACGCATCAATTTGCAATGTACAAACTGTTATTTTTAAGGTAAAGTCGTAGTTGTTAAGAAGGTTTTGCATGGTAAAATTTGGTCATTGCTCTTGGTTTAAACTCGTGACCGTTTTATTCAAGCAAAACTAATGAATTGAGAAAAACACAAATATGTTTCACCAAATTATTGTTACTCCTTTGTCTGTGCCAAATACTCCTTGGAGGAGAAATGCCATTTGAAACAAGCAGAAAAGATAGAAATGCAGTAATCCTAAACATTTCAATCCCTTTTTTTCGTCTGTAAGTACGCTGCTGCAGCCAACGTTTTTTATTGCGCAATCGAGACATCTTTAGTATGTTTAAAGTACTGCAAATCATCAAAATGGCTTTCATAATGAGCAGCGATTTAACTTCAAGGGAGGTGTTATGGGTTTTTTTTCGGAGTCTGAATGTGTTTTCGCGCGAACCTTTTCATTTATTTCTTTCAACACTATCAATCAATTTTTTTTCAAAATTTAACACTAAAAGGTATGGGGAAAATCTGGCTTCAGAATATTTGTTTTGTGTCATCTGCTTGACCAGAATATTGTTTTATTGCCAAATTGGGAATTAGAATATTTCGTAAGGAAAAAACCATAACCCCCCCCCCCCCCCCCTCCCGCCCTTTTTGAAGTCCAATCGTCGTTCCCTAACTGTTGGAAAAGTTGTCACAGAAATTTGAATTCGATTCTATGTAATGGGCATTTAAATGACATATAATTTACAAGTGTGAACAAATCTAACGTACAGGTAGTTAAACCAGGTGTATGGATGTGAACATATTTAATGTGAAACCAGTGTACATTACATTAAACTAATTGTAAACATGTTTACTGTACATGGCGTTTGGTGTGAACACGGCCTAAGATTACAGTGGTACATGTACACCAGTTTAATTTCTTTAAACGCAAATAGATATAAGGTTATTATGATTCATTACACTAAAAAAAAAGAGATAACAAAATAGTAAGACAGACCATAAGCTACTTCAAAAATGAACTTTTACATCTCCATTGATAAGAATGATAATAAGTGAAAGCAATTTAGATGTCCAGTATCACCTTTTTCACTTTCTGTAAAGTAAAAATCATTGTTTTTTTCGGCGTTTGCGACCAGTAACTGATTTGTTCTACGATTAAAATTAGGAGCTGCAGGTTTGAAAAGACCATCACTGACTGTAAGAATTTCTTTGTGTCGTTGTCCACCAGCTGATATAACAACTACGTTGTCAGACTTGAACCCTACTACGTATACGTTACCATCATTGTCTACGGAAACGCCATATGGCTTCTTCAAGAGATTTTCATTTTTGAATGTCTAATGTACCACACCTTGTGTATCAATACATGTAACAGAGTTTGTATTGTAATTTGTCTAATGTATCTTATCGTCATATACCGCAACATAACAATAATCCGGTATTTGACCTTGAATTAAAGTACTTATTGAACTCTTCTTCGTCGTGTTCAGTTTTACTAACATGATTCCTTCTTTATCTGAAGCACAAATACAATTGGTATATTTTAATGCAATGCCGTAAATGTGATTACGAAATTCCAAATGAGTATATTTGGTTCGTTTGTTGAAGTCGATTTGTATAATCACTCGCATGTTTGACTCTCCTGACGTTACAACCAATGTGTTGTCTGCACTGCTGTATGCTATGTAAAATCCAAATGAAAACGTTTCCACTGCAAAATCTTTCATTCCGTTAGTTCAGAATACTCTGACACATCCGCTACTATAATCCGTACACGCCATTCTACCATCAGGTAACATGCAACAACCAATGTTATTTTTTCCCATAGTATCTATAGTTGTAGTCAGCTTCATACTGATATTTCCTACTGACCGCGGTAAGACTTGCAACATCATCTTCTGAGCTTGTTTGTTTTTATTCGTTTTTAATACAACATCACTTAGTTCCTTCTTTATTATTATTTTTACAAAATATTTGAAATATTTGGTGAATTTGTCCATGTAGTTATAGTATTTATACGACAAATTGCGATCCTTAACCGTTCCTTTGTCGATCATTGCATGTCTGAAGCATGTTCTTTGATTTTTCTGATATTTCTCTGACATTCAATAATCTAATTTTCCTTGTCATTCAATAAACCTAGCAACTCCCTAATTTTC